AAAAGTACGGATTATGAGATAAACAAACAGAGCCAGAGCAGGGAAAACGGAAAGCGTACCGGCCGGTGATGGAGAGCACCCTACTGGCCGTGGCCAGCCGGGCACCTCGCCGGTGCCCGCCCCAGCTAGCGCCAGCCGCCTGGACAGACGCGTCGTGGTGCCGACGGCGAGCAGCTTTTCCCTTCCCTTCCTCTTCAGGCTTTGACCAGCCGTGCTGTGTGCCTCTGTCTCTGCACAAGAGTACAAGACTCGGCAACGATAAGCTTTTGCTGGCAACTGGCGTCAGGCCAGAGTTGACCTCCGCGATCGCCTTCGAAAAGGTAACCGTGTTTTTTTTTTGAAAAAAAAAAGTAATTGGCTTACGGTTGCTTCGCCCATGCGACTGATGAACAGAATTAGTTGAGCCATCATCATCAAATCCTTGTCTTATTTGCGGGAATGAGCGAGTTGCTCGTTTGGTCAGCGTCGCGAGCCGCGAGCTCGGCCACCCGGGTTCAAACACAGTGCCAGCATATTTCCGCTCAATAATAAGTGGGAATGGGGAAGCTCCCCAGTTCAAAAAAAAAATCCTTGTCTTATTTATCATGAGCACTGACATTAGGGATGCATCCTTGTCTTATTTATCATGAGCACTGACATTAGGATGCAACCCTCCGTCTACAAAAGACTGTAACTATAGATTGTGTGTAAGTCAAACTAGTTTAACTTTGGCCGAGTTTACACTAAATGAAAATATATTTTATAATCAATATAATGATACTTATTTTGTATCATAAATATTAGTATATTTTTTATAACTTTGGTCAAATTTCAAACCGTTTGACTTCTTGAGAATTGAGAATTGTATTTTTTGTAGACGGAGGAAGTACTTCGTAGTAACTCTTTTTCTCGGATCCGGCTTCAAAGACGTACTATATATTTAAATTTGAGTATTCTCTGATACGTTTTGAATATTAAGGATGCACGAATACGAATACATATTAAATGATTTAATATGAAAAGTTCATCAACTACAAAGTGGACATTTCTCCATCCAAGCTCGTTCAAAGAATTCAAAAAATCTGAATTTTAAAATATAAGAACTTCAAAGTGATAGAATATATTTAAAAATAATATTTAAATTTCTAAAAATCGTAACTATTTTATTTAAATAGATAGATTATATTTCTTAGAAAAATGTTGGTACCAATTTCATATTTTCGTGATTTAATAATTATTTATGATTTTTAGATATTTACCTATTATTTTAATATTTTTAGAAAAAATATATATAATCAGAAACTAGTAAGGGCTAAAGTTGTCTAGTTTTGATAGTAAGAGGGGTTATGTATGTCTGATTTTAGAGTTCAAAAACTAAATCCATACCTCAACAAAAGTTCAAATGGCTAAAAATAAACTTTTTCTGCTAAAAAATATCCATACTATTTGCATCATGTAGCCGACCGTCTCTAACTGTCTGAACCACCACAAGAGACGATCGCCATCACCAATAGGGCCTACATAATAGCTTGAAAATTTCGTTGAGGAAGCCACAAGGCTCCAGAGTCCAGGCTCACCTACCGAAGGCAAGGAATCTCTCTCTCCTTGCAAAGACGAGCACCCTATTCATTTTGGCTTATTTAGCTGATAAGCTATGGCTGAAAATATCGTTGGTCGGTTTGGTGTGAGAGAAAAAACTGAACAGGCTGAAGACGTCCATGGATATGGAAAAAGGGGGTGTGCTTCTGCTGGCGCCTTGGCGGTGACACACGCTGTCAGAGACAGACAGCCTCATGCTAGAAAGGCCTCGCTGCAGGGGCAAGTTCTACTCCGATACATGAGCAGAGCATGTCGAGTTCTGCCTCCATCTCCAGCCGATCGGCTCAGACGGAGCTGTGCGAGTTGTTTGATGCATGCGCCACTTGCCGTCGTTGAAGGTTAAACCGACGAGGATGCAGGTGGTGTCATCCATGTTGCTGGTTGTCAGAGAGCCCAAGACTTCCAACAACTATCTACGTAGCTAGTTGACTTAGATTAAAAATTTCGTAGAAACAAAGAGAGTGCAAAAAGGCAAAGGGCCTGCTTGGCTGCAGCTCGCAGCGCTGTAGGTACAGTGATAAGTGAAAGGGGAAAATGGCTGCAGCAACGGCGACTACCAATTGTTGGCGCTTGGGTCGTTGCTAGCTCGGAGCGCGTGAACCGAGGAACAGGCACGCGAAATTGAAAAACAGAGCAGGTGCGTCGAGGAAGGCAGTTTGCAGCTCGGGTGTGATAACTAAAAAGTTAGGACAGCTCTACCGATTGACTTATGGGCTAGCTCTAAGCATATTTTAATATTTTAATAGAAGAGGAAGAAAAATTAACTCTCGATCAAAAGCTAGGCTTATACACATATTACATAATCATATGAGGGCGTCATGTGGGGTTATCCAAGTGTATGAGTTATATGTTAAAAGATAGCATTATTGAATAGATCGTCTTAAAGCTAGTAACTAGCTTGTACCATTATGGGTGTCCTTAATGAGATGGTGGGCCTCATGGTGGGAGGACAGGAAAGGTTTTTTAATGAAAAAAATTCCAAAAAAATATCCTATAGGTGGGGTCACTTGCTGAGTTCGCATACAGATAGCTAGCAACTAGCTTCCTATTGTCATTGAAGGTGGCCCTCCAAGTAGGACTTCCGTCTCAAAATAAGTGTTGTTCTCGCTTCGGAAGAAACCATACACTCTTAACTTTGACCAAATATATAAAAAAAATATTAATGCTTATAATCCATAATCAGTATCATTAGATAGATCGATGAATCTATTTTCATAATAAACTTATTTGAGGATAGGACAGACGGAGTACTGCTCAATTACTCTGACGTTTTGTAGTTTGGCAAGCTGATCAGCCTGTGCACAACTCTAGAATGTTATCAAGGCAAATGAAGTGAATGAAGTACTCCGACACTACCTATGAGTCTCTCTTGGCAAGGGCAGTGGTCAAGACGTCGGCCAATTGTTGATCCATGCCACAAATGTATTACTACCTAACTGCAATATGTTTCTTTTTTTTATAGTGTAGAGCTGCAATATGGTTCATGGACCAACAATTGCTGTCTTTGCTGTCACACCGAATTTTAGTTGGCTTCAGTTATTCTTCCTAGCAGTATGACTTGTGATATAGCGCTTGTCTGGCATCTTGCTATATACAAACCCCCTAGGCCCCTCCCCGTCAGAACTCAGGGCTGCTTGGGAGAGCTCCAGGTGCTCCGTCTCCCGCACTATTGATGGTACTGTTCATTCAAAGTCATTTTTCTCTATCTTATCCGAATGAACTAGAAGCTAGGAGGAGTCACTATTTTTGGCTTCTCGATCCGGCTCCGGCTCCTCCACAACTGTAGCACGAAGCCGGAGCCGGGAGGAGCCCGACAGGCCCTTATAGTTCCCGTTGATTTGGTCCACATCTAAATAAGCTTATCTGGCCCAAACCAAGCTTTTAGAAAATATATTATATTAGCATCTAAAGGTTAAAATAGATACATTATTAAAATATATTGTGCACAGGGACTTCAATGAAACTAATTTGATGCTGTGGATGTTGATAAATTTTTCATTGAACTTAGTAAAAGTTCAAAAAGTTTGACTTAGGACAAGCTCAAACTGAACTATAATTTGGGAAAGAGAGAGTATTCTGCTTCAACCAAGATAAATTTATGATATTTTGTTTCTATTAAGTTGCAGGAAACAACAAGTTGAAGAGAGGCAGACAATTCCTTACGGTGTAGTTGTTTTCCTCCATAGCCGTACCCTATACTATACACAAGCTATGCAATGAGCTGGTGTGGGGTTTCCGTACATTGCCTCATTTGCAACATGTTGGCTTCGCAAATTCACACTCACATTGACATGGTGCTGCACTGGACACACGCAGCGACCTAATAGACCAAAGACAACAAAAAAAAACTTAGGCCCAAAACGTCTAGATAGGCTAAAATTGAGGACGAAGTCCACTAGAGCAGACAAACCCAACTTCTTTAGCCAAGTGCGCCAAAAAAAAAAGAGAGACCATTAAGTATAAATAATAACCCACGGATCTCAGATGGGCCATTAACCCGGGTGAACAATTAGACTTGCGTAGGCGATTACAAGGTTCTTTTACATATTATTTATTTTTATTAAAAATGAGTTTAGATTCAGTGGGTGATCCTTACTGGTCTAACTCACAGGGCAATCTGCTACACTAGTCACCCTATGAGTGGCCGATCTATATTAATCACGCACTAAGAGGATGTTTTATTCCTTCTATTCACAGCCTTTGAAAAATCATCTTTTTTTCATATGAGCTTATTAGATGGAAATGAAAATGACTACTATAGAAAAATGATAGACCTTTTGTTTAAAAAAACGAAAAACGATAGACCTTTTCCATGACAAACCTTTTCCATGACACTGACGAGACCACACACCACTTGATTTTACTGAGTGTCCCTATGCTAAACGAGTTTTAGGAAATATATACTGTTTGGGTGCCTACTTACATACTCCCTCTGTCCCACCTAAAAATGCAATCGGAGGACTGGACATAGATACCAATGCAACATAGAAAATTACCAGAATACCCCTATGAACTGATTTGACATGTTTGTAATCATTGCAAACAACAAGAATCTGGCAGTAGCAATTGCAGCCAGTACCAGAGGAGAGGTATTACACGTGTAACATTCGTAAAGTTTTGGAGAACACTCTAGAGACATGGCCATTACACGTGTCATTACAAAAGCTTGCCCACAGTTTGCGGCTTAGAATCAACCGTGGGGAATGCAAAATTTGAATCACCGCGCCAGGGGATTTCCCACTGTGCCACACCCCTCTTTCCCTCGTATAACTGCAGGACACACGAGACCATCCACTCCATCAGCCTAGAAGCCATTTCCATCAACAGCCATGCCCATAGATCTAAACACTCTTTTAGATCCTCATTGAGAGGTCTTACTTGATCTCAATGAACAGCCTCTGAATGAGCAAGAAGATGAAATCATGAGTCTCCAGCAAGATCAACTTTATGAAGATGAAGCCCATCTCCAAGATCAACATGGACACCTCTTACCTGATCTTAATGAAAACCCTGTGTATGAGCAAGAAAATGAAATCGCTCATCTCCAGGAAGATCAACTTTATGAAGATGAAGCCCATCTCCATGTTCAGCCCGTACATCTTGATCACAATGAACGCCTTGGTTTGCATGTCATTGATCTCAATGTTGCTGGTTCTGAGGGAGAACAAGAACATCATAAAGGTGATTCTTTTTCTCTTCATTGCATCTGGACAGCAGTACGACCAAGCTCAGTTCGAATTACCTATTTCCAACTAAAATCAAACTTGAACTAAATATTGTGCCTCACCTCATTGCAGTAATTGGAGTAGAGGAAGAGCATCCATAGGCTGCATGTCTCAACTTTGATGGTCCACCACATCAATTTGATCTAAACTTTGCACCTTTTGATCTGCAGCAGTAGATGCACGGTAAACTAACGACCAGCTACCCTTTTCCTTTTTAATGGATGAAAAGGCCTGTAGTTACAGTCCATTCGACAAAAGATTTTTCAACTAGTTAATGTCTGTGTACCATATAAAAAATATTCTAGACCCAGATTCTTACACTCATGTTGAACCACAATTCTAAAAAATAACACTTACAAATCTGCACCAATTGCTCCAAAACTCACCATTTAATTCTTTTGTAGGCATGATGGAAGACATGCATGACTATGGTGTTTACGCAGATGCTGTGGACATAGTCTTCGATGAAGAGGAGTTGGAGGGTTCGGATGTCGAAGAAGATCACCATGCAAATGAAAACAATGCACATCAGTCCAGAAATTTGACAGAAGCTGAACGACAACAAATCTATGCAACATTGCTTGAGAGAAGTGATCATGGAAGACTAAAAAGGAAAGCTACAACTATAGTAGCACAAATGTTCTAGGTGAGCAGGTATAAAGTGCAGTGCATTTGGCAGCGAGCAAAACAATGTCGTGCCCAAGGAATTCCAGTTGATGTTAGATCAAGGAAGCCTAAGAGAAGTGGCCGCAAAAGGTTGCAAATAGACCTATCTGAGGTTCTCAGTGTTCCGTTGCATAGAAGAAGCACTATTCGATCTCTAGCGGAAGTCATTGGTGTCAAAAAGAGCACTCTGCATAGGTGGTTCAAGAAAGGGCTACTACGACGTCACTCTAGCAAACTAAAGCCTCTATTGACGGAACAAAACAAAAGAGACAGGCTCCAATGGTGTCTTTCCATGTTAGATCCCCAGACACTTTGCAAATTCTCTAGATTTGAATGTACTAGACCTAGGATTCTTTGCTTCTCTTCAGTCCTTGACCTATGAAAGGATCTCTAGGAACTTGGATGACCTGATTCAGAATGTTAAAAATGAGTTTGATAACTATGATCCAGATACTTTAAATAGGGTGTTCCTAACACTACAAGGGTGTATGATTGAGGTCATGAAAGATGGAGGAGGAAACAGATACAAAATTCCTCACATGGACAAAGACAGGCTGGAGGCGCTAGACATACTTCCTAAAACCCTTAGTTGTGACCGACAACTATATGAGGATGTGGTCGCATCCCTGGGACACAATCATGAACATGCGGACCCGTATATTCCTCACGAGTATTTTGGTGATGCTGTAATATAAGCAATGAGTATGTAGCTGTTGATGTAATATAAAGTCATGAGCATTTTGCTAGTGCTGTAATATAAAGTCATGACCATTTGGTACTGCTATAATTAAATGAAGTTGTAACTTTGTATGGTGTGTCGCTACTATTGACTATGATGGTTCTCCCAATATTAATCATATTGACAAGTTCAGCATAGTTTGCATACAGAGATACAAAGTGAGTGTTCGCTGCAGCTTAAGGAGAAGCAGTATCAGCTTTTTTCGCTCTGCATTGTTCGCTGCACGCACAGGAACAACACGCAATAGTAGCATCAGCCGTCGTACACATAATAGGTTGTACTAGTGATACGCAAAAACTAAATTGGGCATGACATTATACTGTTAAATGATTGCAAAAGGAGCATTAAACTAGACATAACCAAAGAATGTCGTACAGATTTATAAGAACAACAAATTCAATAGCTAGGATAAGTCTTACAACAGGTACCATGCTAGAGTCTTCATCCTCGGAGTCGAGCACATACAGGATGCCTTGAGCGTTGACGCATAGGCGACCCCATCCTATACGGCGGTCGCGCACAGAGATCGAGTCTTTGGCGTCACTTTGGATCTCAACGTCGGCTAGCTTCACGACACACTCCACACCATCATCATCGTCACATATCTTGGCGCCACCCTCATTTGAACTCGTGAATTGCGCTTTTTTCGTGTACAACTTATATATCTATCTTTAAATGTGGTGACCTGTTGTTGATGGCGTGCCATCCCGCCTCCCCTCACAGACCCATGTTCATTCCCGGTGACCATACTGTCCGGCACCGCCGCCACCGGATGGACATCTTAACGAGGACAAGAGTCGTAAGAGGAAGACTAGAAGAGGAACAAGGGAACCATATCAGGACGGAGAGATGAGGCTCGATCCCAAGGAAGGGTTGGGAGCTCCGGATAGAGGCCTCGATCTAGGGAATAGGGCGGTGGGGAGGCTTGGGCAGAGGAGGATGCCAAGCATGGCAGAGGAAAGGAGTGGATGAGGAGAGGGCTGCTATAAAAGGGACCTCGAGCCCTTCCTTCCCATTCATTCTAAATAGACGAGGCATCAATTGAACTACACGATTTTTTTTTTTTTCGAATTTATAAAAATGCGTGACACCATGTTATAAAAATATAGTTTGGTGTCATAAATCTTGACTCTTTATATAAATTCAATCAATTTTTTAAAAAGTTTAACTTTTAGCTTTAGCAGGTAGTGGAGGATGCGGGCAGTATAAACGCCCCATCGATTCACTGAAGTACTAACATTCTGCTGGTTCATTCAAAGTTGTCATGGTGGCCTCCTAATTAAACACCAAACGAGTGGAGGAGAGTGAAAGCGTTGAGATGAATTTTTCTTTTTTTATTTAATGATGAGAAGTCTCAGCATGGCTGGATCCGTGAGATAGAGACAGTAACAGCCATCAATTTCTCCTCATCTCAAGGGACGACACACTTGGTGCTATTGGTGTGGGTCCCCCACCCTAAGCCTGGTGTAGTAGGCTGATAGGCTACTTTATCATTTTTTGGAAAAAAATTTGAACTCGTGAATTACGTTTTTTTCTGAGACGGAGGGAGTACAACTTATATATCTATCTTTAAATGTGGTGACCTGTTGATGAATAGTGCCATCCCGCCCTCCCCTCACAGACCCCTGTTCATTCCACAGTGACTCCATACTGTCCGTCAGATCGTGCAGCTCGCCAGCGGATGGCCGCCACGCACGCGTGCAGCAGGCCCACGCGCCCACCCTATCCACCGCTCCAGCCCACCACGGACACCACCACCTGCCTCAGCGGTCCCGAAAAAAAAAAAGAAAGCGCAGCGGCGACGGCATCGACAAAATCCGTCGCTCCTGCAGCCTCCGCCGGCTGCGACGGGACCCCGCTGGAGCACCGCCCAACCTGTGCCCGAGCGTCGCCCGCGCACGCCGCCCCCGCCGCCGCAGGGAGGCGCCACCGCTTCCTCCGCCGCCCAGGGAGGTGAGGGCCGCAGGGAGGCGCCACCGTCTCCTGCGCCGCCGCCCAGGAAGATGGAGGCCGATTAGCACAAGGTCTTCTGTGTCCACCGCAGCGCCGGCGACGACGACCCCAAGAAGGCACCTCCCTCTCTCCCTCAGGTCTGACCGTGATTTGGGCGTGGAATCCAAAGTCGGTCAGGGAGGGCGGAGGGCCTCCGACTCCACGTCGTCGTCCACGCACGCCGCCCGCCGGCGCACGGAGGCATCCTCCGCCGCCGCCCAGGGACATGGGGGCCGCAGGTATGCTCTCCTTTTTTTTTCTCTCTCTTTTTATTTTCTCACTTTTCCTAGGTGATATGCACATGCCAATTCATTTGCAGTGCCACTCCCTCTCGCTAATAGTGTCTACCTCCTCCTGCATCATGTGACAGGCAGGCCATATGAGCCAACCTCTTCCTTGCTGAGCGCTCATCATAAATACTGATAGATGGTTGAAGGTGTTTGACAATTTGCTCAACAGAATGTCGAGGGTGGTGCTGCATCTTGCGGTTCTCTCAATGTTCGGGTCATCATCATGTAGTTCAGTTTTGAATTTTCTATTACACGCCAGTAAATATTTGTTTTCAAACACATGCTTGGTATATTACTCAATGAGTGTCTATTGTGTGTCAAATTTGCAGAATATTTGGGAGGTGTGCAAGCTTAACATAATGATGGCATGTGCTAATTTCATGTGATATTGCGCACACCTAACTTTAGATTTTCGTAATGATAGCATGAATTGCATTGGTAATTGGTAACGTTTCATTCCATCTCACCCTTCTACTTCTCCAAAATGCATTTTAAGTTTCCCTGTTTATAAAAGACTAATGTGCTCTTTTTTCTCCATGCTAGCATGCTTATGCCAACCTTCGCTTGCCAATGTACACCAGTTCAATCGGCCATTTCCGTGTTCCTTCTATTTCAGGCCAGTGTACTTTCTACTGTGCTATGGCAAATGACACCAGTCTATGCATGGATGTTGTAGATTATTATGAGATCATGTGTGATGTCATGCCTGACTTTGCATAGTGATTTGACATATAGTGTATTGTGTGTGTTTGACCATCTTCTCTACTATATGTGGTTTAGTACCACCTACGAAAACCTCAGCATATGGTCTATTTGGGATGTATGCAATATGTTATATTGCTTTCAGAGCTTGCCTTATTATTATTTAGTCTATTTGGAACGTATGCACTTGGTTGAAATGCATTCAGAATTTAGGTCTCTTCTGAACAAGAGACTCAGAAATAAGTAGGTTAGAATCAATTCTCCTGGGGTAGGTGTTTACATTTGATATAAAGCTTTTGCTTAGGTTTAGTTCAGATTTTGACAGGCTGGGCAGTACATAATCATAGCTTGGCTTACCATTTGGTATATTTTGTGAAGTATGCAGTGGGTTCCAATACATTCAGAATTTAGGTTCATGTTGGGGAAGCCGCATAAAAGATTGGGAGTCAATTTCATTCAGCGAAGTGTTTCTGTTTGCAAGTGAAGCTTTTTCTTAGGTTCCATTCAGGTTCTTGCAGGCTGTGTATGGTGGACAACAGGGTCCATTGCCCTCTTAGTAGGTTCCTGAGAGGTACAGTCGGTGCTCTTCATATGAATCTTCTACACCTACTTTGTATCGTTGACCTTACATACACCACTGCACTATTTCTGAATGATCAGCACCAATGAATTGTGGTGCTGGCAAATATATAATACTCTCTTGGTGCAGGATTGGTATTGGACGTGTGCTTCAATCGACACAATCATGAGCCTGTTCTCTTAGAACAATTACTTTCCAAATTTACTCATGCTGCATGTCAAAGCTCCATCTCTTATTATTTCGAGGAAGGCTAAATTTGCTGCTGCATGTGAACACACTAAATCCACTGCTATGTAACAATGGTAGCATATGCCTTTACAGCATTGTCTAAAATTGGTTATCTGATCTTAATAATTAATTTGTTTTTTGTTTCTTCCATGAATTGTGGGCACTGATTCACGAATTTGAGCTGATACGCAATTGATGTACTCAGGTTGGCTACCTCTTCTCGCTACCCTCAGTTTTCATTGCCATTAATCACCTCTAATTTGCTATTCTCTAATTCAGGTCTTATTGTTTCAGGTGTAGTCCATAGTGGCTGGTATCCTCATGTAGCAATTAGGCAGGGTCTCTGCTATCTCAACATTACCCAGTTTGCTATAACACATGCTACTAAACGGCTCCCTGCTTATAAGGTAACAATTTCCTGTGGCTACAGTAGTACCCCTATATGTAAAAAGTTTACTTTTGCTGGAATATGTACACCCACAAACAGTAATAAATGGTGATAGAATATCACATGCTCTATTGCTTCTTTACCCTTTGCAGAGTAATGTTTAAAGAAAAACGACCCACATTTTTCTCATATAGCAAACAGGTTGCAATGCCTGGCAGTAAACACCAAACCGTAGTTACTAATTTAGTTTCTATTTCCTCATATTGTTCTTCGATTTCCAAATGTATATCCTTAGATCTTTTCACCTAAACTAGATACTTTTCAGTCTACATGCACAGTTCCAGGTCCTCAGTGTTGTCGTCTTCCCCGAGCTACGCATCTTTCGTGATCGTAACCAGTCTGATGGAACACATTCCCATAACAGGCCTCCCTTGCCAAGTGGACAGCTTTGCCAAACATTGAAAGTTCTTTAGCCCATGGCAAAATGAGTCTCCATATCCAATTGAAACAACCTTGTACTATGCTAACATTATCCTATGAAGGGCTCAAATGAACCCATCCGTAACTAATGTTAGTGATCTTTTTGTTCCATGTATAATAATATGATGTGCTATAATTCCGGCTTGCTGGCCCGTGCGAAGCACGGGGGTACCTGCTAGTATCTTATTATCTTTGGACCAACAATAATGAGACATTTCATGAGTGGTGGACGACCCTTGGCTTGACTATGAGAGTGTGTAACGGTGTGTTTGGTTGGATGGATACTCTGGATGAGATATGACCATCCATGGACAACTGCTATTTGGTTTATGGGTGAGTTGGAAATGGATATCGTTGACAAGAGAATATTCTTTTAGATGTTGGATATCCCTGCCACCAAAAAATTATTGGGCGAGATTATCCATGTTTTCTAATCTTTGTCGTTATACAATAGACAGTGGCTTTGTATTCACTTTTGTTTTCTTATCTTTTATTTTCTTGGCCCTTTTTGGCTTCATTTTTCATTGTGTTTACTATTAAGGCTGCGTTTGGATGTAGATATTGAGGCTCAAGATTCGGAATTGGCCTAAATGAGAAATTGCCACAGGTACTAATGCTGGTTTACTAGAAAAAGATAGAGCCAGATGAGATGTAACGTTGTATAGTTCATCACTTTTCTTTGAAGTCGTCTTAATCTATATAATGTTCAGATGTACAGATGCAGAACTAATCGTAGTAATGGTTATTTTGGAAAACAATGACCGAAAAGATTGAACTAAAATATTACAACGCATTGTCTTAAAATGTCTGATGGGCGTTCCAGCAGAAGGCGGCCTATCATAGCCTTTTTGGGCCCAGGAAGCAGCATCGCCTTCTATACACTCCTGACAAGTGCATTTCATCGGGCCAGTCGACCTGACGTACCTCCCTGCCTAGTGCTCGTAGCCTGGCAGTGGCTTTGGCTGCTCCATCTCAAGACAAGATGGTCAAAAGAATATTCATGTAAATGGATACCAAAATTATTTTCCTTCGTACCGAAAACCGAACAGACGGCTCTCAATTCACAATTTCACACTCATACGCTACTACACCCGGGCTTTCTAGGGGCTGCGGATAAACATTCGTAGGAACGGTTTTGCCGGTCCCTCTTACCAAACTGTTGCTCGAAAATACTTGACTTAGGGGTGGCTGGCAAACAACTCCTACAATTAATATAGAGATGCTCCTACAAATTTATTTTTAAAAATTCATAAATCTAGACTAAAAAATAGCAAAAGATAAATCTAATCCAAGGAGGCCCCTCACGAGTCAGCCACCCGCAAGTCAAGAGTCACAGCATATTTTTATATTCTACAACTCTGTGGCCAGCAGGATTCGAACCGACGACTTCTCCCTCACGCATACCCTCATAAACCAATGCATCTCACAATCACTCGTGTCTATATTGGATTTCCTTTTTCCCACATATTATCCTAAACTGAATTTAATTTGATTGTTTGAGGCCTAAACGAATTCAAATAAAAAAGTTGTCAACTATAAAGTTGTATGACTTTTCGATATCTACAACTTTTATTTTGGTAGTTTCTTCATCCAAGATCGTTTATAAAATTTGAATTTCAAATTTAAGAAATTCAAATGTAGTTTTCCTTGATAAGATGATCTCAAATCAAAACGTTGCCAACTACAAAGTTGTATAACTTTTCAAGATCTACAACTTTCATTTTGGTTATTTCTCCATCCGAGGTCGTTTGAAAATTTCAAATTTCAAATTTGAGAAATTTAAACGTAGTTTTCTTGACAAGACGATCATAAAACAAAAAAATGCCAACTACAGAGTTATATAAATTTTCGAGATCTACAACTTTTCATTTTGGTTGTTTCTCCATCCGAGGTCATTTAAAAATTCAAATTTTAAATTTTAAAAATTCAAACATAGTTTTTCTTGACAAAATGAAAAAGTTGTCAACTACAAAGTTCTATAACTTTTCAAGATCTACAACTTTCATCTAGGTTGTTTCTCCATCCGAGAAAGTTTGAAAAAACAAAATTTTAAATTTAAGAAATTAAAACGTAGTTTTTGCTGACAAAATGATTTCAAATGAAAACGTTGTCATCTACAAAGTTTTATAACTCTTTAAGATCTACATCTTTCATTTTGGTCATCTTTTCTTGTGACTTTGTTTTATGACTTCAAAATTTGAATTTCAAAAAATATCAACTTGAAATAATATTTTGAAAGAGTAAATAATTTTAGCTAAAAAAGTCATCAACGTAAAAGTTGTAGAACTCACCAAGTTCTACAACTTTTATTTTGATCATTTGATCATCTGATAAAGTGATGCTATACATTGTTCACAAATTTACATATCCCTCTTATAGTTTCATATACATCTCTCTTATAGTTTCATATAGTAATGTATAGTACCATTTTGTTGGATGAACAAATGATCAAAATAAAAGTTATACATCTTGATGAATTCTACAACTTTTATGTTCATGAGTTTTTCAGCTGAAATTATTTACTGCTTCAAAATATTATTTGAAGTTATCATTTTTTGAAATTCAAATTTTGAATTGATAAAATAAAGTAACATAAAAAGATAGCTCAAATAATAGCTGTAAGAACCCAACAAATTGATAGAGCAAGATTTTAGAAAAATTTAGCAAAATAAATCATCAAATTTGAAATTAGTATGATGGAGAAAGACTAGTTACAAGTTTTAGCAAGAGATTAAAAAGAGAAAATTAGAGTCCTTCAACTATTTAAAAATTGAATTTCAAATAGCATTTTAAAGCAGTAAATGATTTCAAATGAAAAAGTTATAAACAACAAAATTCTATAACTTTTTGAGATCTATAATTTTTATTTTGGACATTTCTCCATCCAAGGTCATTTGAAAAAAATCAAATTTTAGTACTTATTTTTTACTATTCAACGCCTATTTATAGGGGCGGCTTAATATAAAGCTGCCCCTACAAATTGGATTTGTAGGGGTGGCTGGATATAGAGCCGCCCCCTACAAATAGAGCCATTGGTAGGAACGGCTCATAGCACTAGCCGTCTCTACAAATAAATTTATAAGGATGGCTCGTTTGGAACCATTTGTAGTGACGAAGAATCCCAAAATGCAAGGCTAAGAGTGTCTCCAATGGCGCAGGCAAGCGGTCACCCAAACGTAAAATACGTCAAGTACAATATTTTGCGTGCCGAAATCGTGCTCCAACGGAGGACGCATCCAAAGCAGCCATTTTGGGTACCTGGCGAATCGGAAGGCAAAAATGAGTCGGCTCTCTCGACGACGCAAAAGCATAGCAAAGAGAGGGAGCTGAGGGGGGCTTCGGCGTGAGCTCCGTCCACCCCGCCGCCGCACCGGCGCCTCCAGGAGCGGCGCAAGTGGGAGTCCTCCTCCTCCTCCTCCTCCACCGACGAGCCCGAGCCGCGCCGCATCCGCGCGGAGGCCCGCACGTCCTCGCCCTCTCCCTCGCCCTCTTCCTCTCCGCCACGTCGCCCGCCGCTCCTCCTTCCTCCGCTTCAAGCCCTGCGCCCTCGCCGCCACCAGCACCGGCACCGGAGCAGCCGCGGCGCCCCCTGTCCGGATCTACGTTGAGGTAGTCGCGGGGGTTGTACTTGTGCAGGTAGCTCCCCGGGAGGTAGAACCCGCGGGCGCCTGGCAGCGCCGTCGTGAGCAGCGTGGCCGCCGCGCCGGCGAGGAGGAGGAGCGCGCCGGCGAGGGGGAGGAAGCGGGGGCGGTGGTGTGTTGCTCGAGGTATGTTGGAGAAGACAGACTTTTGGGTCCGTGACCTACTCACTGTAGCTGACCTATACCGTTGAATGGGTATGGGACTTGGGTTGCCTTCGTTGGAGACACTCTAATGGACACCTTCATGCTACACGCAGACAGATTTGGTTTTAGTATAGTACGAGTATTACAGGTAGCATACTAGCATGACTTGTTGAAAATGTTTGGATAAGTACTAGCAATGATAGGCTAATGTCGACACCTCCAAGCTGAACATTTCTCATGAAAGGGACAGGAAGGGTGGCGGCGTTGACCCAGTCCACAGCACGCAACCCTTGTGTGCCCTGTCTCAATTCGCCAATGTGCCACTCTACTCAAGAAAACAAAGTATAAATACTTTAAGGATTAAACCAGACATTTTTTTCCAAACCAAATTAAATCAGACTAGTTATAAAAATTAGGAGCTAATTATATTGTCACACTCTATACATTATACTTTTCCACTCACACTTGTTATATATCTTAGACGCTAATTATAACATTCTGCTATGTGTTCACCCATATTTTTTTGAGCTACCTCACATGACTTGGGCCTGTTTAGTTCCACTTCATTTTGCTAAATTTTTCAAGATTATTCGTCACATCGAATCTTTGACGTATGTATGAAGCATTAAATATAAATAAAAAATAAAACTAATTACACAGACGAAATCCACGAGACGAATCTTTTAAGCCTAATTAGACTATGATTGGATACTAATTGCCAAATAACAACAAAAAACGCTACAGTTGCATTTTGCAAAAAAATTCGGATCTAAACTGGGCCTTGGTGCTTGCGAGAGTGAAAACATTTCGACCGTCCCCAACCCCTTTTTTTTTTTGTGTCTTTTGACGTCTCCAGTAAATAAACACACTTATATAATACCGTGTTACGTGCTTTCCACCCACTTTTTTTTCTAACCTACCGCATGCCACGTGGTGCTCATGAGGGTGGAAAACATTCCCAACATTTACAACAGTTACTGGTCCTTAAAACCGTTCCATTCTTTTGGCTCCTTTTGGCATGTATCTTGGATAAATAAGCACACCTACATAATAAATATGTTATGTATTTTTTTCGCCCACGTTTTGTTGGCCTACCTCATGTCGAGCTTGTTCGCAGATTGATTTCTGGGCTGATAAGTCCAACTGATACTGGTTTATTGTGAGAGAAAAATACTGTTGGCTGACTGATAAGTTCTGACTGAAACCAA